ATGTAAATGTTTTAATTTTGAGAATTGGCTGCTTAGTCTAAATGGTTCATGCCCCGTATGTACTTTGAATCCTATTTCTGGGTGCTGTTACGTCAGTTCTATCTCATACAGTCAGTACTGTAAGCAGGGCATCGTTTTTTGAGGCTACTGAGAAATACTGTATTGCACTGAATGGAAAATGGCTTCAATTGTAGGCTGTATTTCTGACTTCAGAGATGTAAAAATGTGAGGTTTAAAAAAAAAAAAAAGTCTGCCTGAGGAATAATCAAATACGAGGGGGGGCTTCAAAAAGTTGGTGGAAAAATGGAAATAAAGATCATGGAAATGAACTCACCCCCATGGCTTCATTTTCAGCCAAACGACTGGAAGACTGAGATCCTAAGGGCAGCGTTTACTCAAGGACAAAGCTGCGAAGGATCCAGAAGGGTGGAATGGAAACAGGAAACACAGGGAGGGGTGGACTACGGGATGGTACTTGTAGGGATGCAATCCAGGAGATGACACAAGGCGAGTGTGAAAGTGTGAATGCAAGGCTGATCTAATTCCACTTTACGATATAAAGGAGCGAATTAAAAAAATTACTACTACCAAAAAAAAAAAAAAAAGACGAGGAATTTTTTGTCCATGAACTTTTCGAAGCCCCCTCGTACAGCGTGCCTCACAAAAATAGCTCCTTTACAGTTTCTTTTTTCTTGTTTGACAGAGAACGTATTGTCTTCTTTTCTATTCCAAAATAATCAGGAGCCTCGTGTCTGAAACTAGGTGACCAGCGAGAAGTGACGGGCGGGTTTCCGTTTCATCAAACATCAACCATTTCGCGTGAGCTCCACATCTGAGATACCACCTAAGATTCCTACAGTCTGCTTGAGTCACCCCCTCAGTGGTGTAGGCCTTTTATGAAAGGGTTTCGGCTGGCTGTGCTGTGGCGGATGTGTGGACCAACCCTGTCAGACATCACTGGTCAGAGCCCATGGAACAATGCCAGTAATGCAGAAGGTGGATTCGAAAGGCCTCAGTCATCCTAGGCTTGTGGTCCTTTGCCCAAACCCCCTTCAGATTCCCAGGGTTCATGGGGAAGAGTGGTTTGAACCATATGCCCAACTCAAAGTAATAATGTTTTTCACTTGTTCTAAGGCTGTTCAGGGTCGCTATGGGTCGGAACCGACTCGACGGCACTTAACAACAACAACAACAAGGCTGTATCTAATTCACATCAGCCTCCTCTGAGTGCTCATACAGCTTCCTGATTTTGCCCAGAGCTCTTGGCAGGGTGAGGTGTGACCATGTGTGGAAGGCAGGCGCATTATGCTGGATGGTCGTTTGAAGGTGGGCCACCAGTGCTGGGCATTTGGGGCAGAGTCCTTTTGGGGGGGAAAAGGTCAGTGGGCATCTTCAGGGTGCTTGGATTCTATCACCTTTCTTTACTTCCCAGCACTGCTGATAATGGACGCATGCCCATTATTGTAACAAAGAGAGCTGCTTTCATTGGGCTAAACAACTCAGCCGGAAGCCTTGTTAATAGTTTTCATTGAGTCAATTTTGACTCACGGGACTCCGTAGGACAGAGCAGAACTGCACTGCTCCCTGGGGTCTTCTTGGCTGTGACCCTAACAGGGACAGGTGGCCAAGTCTTTCTCCTGCAGACCTGCTGGGTGGGTTTGAACTACCAGCCTTTTGGTTAGCAGTCAAACAAATGCAAACTGCTTGTGCCAACTGGAGACTTTATTCTCCACGAGGTCTGTCAGAGGCCACATGGCAGGGAACCCGGTGAAGCAGGATGATTCTCAGACGTGTCCCTGCTCCACCAGCCCAAGAGCCCAGGCAGCTACTATTCCAATCTGACCCTCGGTCTCCTCACCACACAGGAAAATTATGGTAAGTGACATGCTGGTGGCACAATGGTTAAGTGCTTGGCTGCTAACTCAAAGACTGGAGGTTCAAACCCACCCGCTCCTCCATGGGAGAAAGGTGGGGCAGTGTACTTTCGAAAAGATGATGGCCTTAGAAACCCTCCAGGGCAGTTCTCATCTGTCTCGTGGTCACTATGAGTCAGGATCAGCTCGAGGCACAGGATGAACGTGTGTATTGTTGGGTGTGTGACTGTGTGGCTTGCTGTGACCTGTGTTTGCCGAATGAAAGCATGCATGCTCTTGTAACAGAGTCACTAGAGAAGGACGCTCTGGCGCAGCACACTCTGAGACTCAGGGACCACAAGAGGATCAGGACAACCTGCACCAACAGGAACAGGCTTCCCATCAGCTATCCCGAAGGGGCACGTCCCCACCAAACCTTTTCCAAGCCAAGATGGCGTAAAGCGAAGAAGAGAGCACTGTTATTTCAATCAGGGAAAGGTTCTGAGCATTCCCATACAGTAAAAAATAACCTACCAGGGTCAGAACAAATAGCACGGAAAAACTACAATAACACTATGCAGTGCTCCCATACTTAGCACATACTTACTGACAGTGCAAAGTGGGAGGAGTCAGCCCTTGGAGAAAGACATCAGGTTTGGCCGAATGGAGAGTCAGCAAAACAGAAATAGACCCCCAACAAGCTGCAACAATGGGCTCAAGCTTTCCACAGACCCCGGGACTGTGCAGGACTGGGCGCTATTTCATTCTGCTGTACATTGGATCGCTATGAGTCAGACCAAACTCGAGAGTACCTTAACAATTTCATGTTCAGAGAGACAGTTCAGAGCTGGGGTGGTTTGTTGCTGAGTGTAGATCCCGGAAAGGCACTTGGGGGTTCCTGTCTCACTGCCTGGGGTACACACAAACTGTAATAGCTGGCTGTGAACACGCGCTGAACGCGAGGTTTGCTTTTCACCTTTTTTGTTTGTGTAAGCAAAAATGCTCCTTTGATTTCTCTCGGTTAGCAAAGACAGTGACTAACGTAGTTCTCTGGTGTAAGTGGAGTGCTGTCCAACACATACTGGAAAAGTGGGGGATACCTATATTCAGAGAGCTTCCAAAACAAAGGGGGTTGGTGGGTGCTATGGTAGAGCTAGTTTTCACAGTGCTGGTTCATGAAGCCAGAATTGGGGCTCTCCTATTGGAATGTCGTATTGGCACGGACACGATTCCTAAACTCAGAGATGACTGGCTTCGTCACAGTAACGCAGAGCAGATACCTAGTTGAAGTGGATAACTGTGGCCACTTTGCTGAGGTGGCCACTACCTGACGACGTCCAAGCATTTGGCAATGCCTCACCACCTATGAGCCAACAAACACTGAGGAAGGTAGCCAACAAGGCTGGGCAATCTCAGGGGTCTGGTTGAGATGAGAGGACCGAGGGCCCCCTAGGGACACCATGCCAGCAGAAAGCACCTGAGGAGACCTTCTGCTGGCGCATTTGGGCCTCGGATGCCTTTGAAGGAGGCTATGCCTGGCCATCCCCGGGGCCTGGAAACCTCACCTTCAGCTGTGCCCGACAGACCATCGGCTTTGAAGTTGCTGGTACTTTTCTTCCTCCGATGCTTCTTTCTGTTGGCGTGCGGAGAGGGGGGCGGGTCGAGCTTGGGGCTGGTGGTGCTGGGGATACTGGGGCTGGAACACACAGAGTCACCCAGCCCGGTATCTGTAAGGGGCAGAAAAGACACAGGAACACAAGGATTAGGCAAGTTCTTAAGAACGGGACTGTGCCCCCCAAAACAGTGTCCCTCCAATATCGCGGGGAGCCTGGCCAAGAGTCAATGACCCTCCGGCCACTGAGCCAGAGGCCCAGGGCAGCCCCTACTAGAATCACGGCACACTGTCCCTTACTCTCGTGTGCCAGCGGCGCCTCAGACACGGCCTGGGCACCTGCACTGTCTTTCTGCCACACAGAACGTGACAAGGAGGAAAACCATAGGGGGGCTTCTGGAAACCAAAAGTGGTGAGTTCACGCCTCATTCTAGTTTTCTCTTTGCAGGATGGCACGGGAGGAGTTAGGAATGAGAGCGCAATATGACTGCATATGAAAAGTGTCACCTTTGAAGAGTCTGTGTGTAAACACACACACACACACACACAGGAGAAAAGCACAGCTGTTCCTCTTTATTCACAGGGGTTATGTTCCCAAACCCCAGTGGGTCGATACCCGAAACCTAAGAGAACAGGACGAGTACAGATGAGGTGGCTTCATGAAGTTTTTGGAAAAACTGAAAAAGAAAATGGAAGTTTAACATGAACTTTTAGAAGCCTCCTTGTACACACCACAGGTACTCAGGGGGACCCGGGTAGGCAGTGCTAACCCGTCGGATGCCAGCAGGGCAAGGTGCAGCTGCCGTCCAACTGTGTTTTCTAGGCTTGTGCCCAGTGAAGGAGGAGGGAGAAGGGTCCTGGAAGCTGTGGAGATTTCATTCCGCTGCGCACAGAGGCTCATGATTTAAATATTTTCGGACCCTGGTTGCCCACGGGTAACTGACACTGTGGGAAGGGACATGGCGGTTAGGAGGGGAAGACAGTATTCCTGATTCTCCTCCTTCTACCTCAAACTTTGGAGTCTTCATGTGGCGCTCTGGGTTAATGCACCAAACTGTAATGCCATTTGAACTGCAAGGTCTGCGGTTCAAGCTCACCAGTTGCTCCTCGGAAACCCTATACAGGGTTGCAATGGGTCGGAGCTGACTTGACGGCACTTAACAACAACCAAACCCTCCAACGTTACGTACGTATGGCAGCAACTTCATTCCATTTTATTAGTAGCTGATGCTATTATGTCATTGCCTACTAGTGTGTGCAACTGTGTTCCGTTCTTAAGTGCCATCGAGTCAATTTCAACTCACAGCGACCCTGTATACGGTTTCTGAGGAGGAGCCTGAAGTGCTGACCTTGCAGTTCAAACTGACCCTGTAGTGCAGCACATTAACCCACAGCGCCACACCAGGACTCCAATCAAAGTTGTAAAATGAGTGCCAATGTGATAACCCGCCATGGATGAAACTCTCAACTGATTGTGCCTGGGCTGGTCCCTAGCAGAGAGAAGACCACCAGACCACCGCGAAGCTAAACAACCAGGTGTGAGCACACTGGAGGAGAAATGGAGACGCCCCAGTCCTCAGACTTCTTTATTCTACCTCTCAGTATCTTGGTAACTCCAGAACCCGCTCTGTGGGTACAGGCAGACAGTAGAGATACATGACAGGTTCGGTTCCAGGCCAGCGCAGTGAAGCCAAAGTCACAATAAAGCAGGGCACACACTGTTTGGTTTCTGGGTGTGGGGCACAGCCATGGGGACACTGCCCTGCTGTCTGCAGCGTGGGTAAGCGTGATGGAGACGTCGGAAGTATTGGGAGCATGACCACAAAGGGACACAGACACACAAAGGAAGCATAGGCTGTTGGGAAAACAGCGCCCACAGGCTGGTTTGACGCAGGGTTGGCACAAACCTCTGCTTTGTAAATAAATGCTGTCTCTGCAGAGTGTGACCAAGGGAAGCCAGGTCAGGTGAGCTGTGCCCATGCACTGAGGAAGGAGCGGGTATGAGGAGTGCAGGCCCTCAGATCTAGAAACAGACTCTTCTGCGGATGAGCTTTCATTCATTCAGAACCTGCTGGTGACTGTCATTTTCCTAGATGCCCTGGGACCATCCCTGAAGAGTCCAGATAAAGTTCCCTGTCCCGCCTGGCAGCACTCACAAGTGGTTGGGCCACAACCAGCTCGAGAAGGTGGGAAGGGAAGAAGGAAGATAAAAACGCAGGTCTCCAGGCCTGGATGTTAGGATGGGGGTGTAGGAGGAGGGTCATCATTGCAGTAGGGTGCTCATCGAGAAGGAGAAGTTCCCCTCAGGACCTGACAATGCTGAATAAGTGAAAAGATGGATAACTGGGACGCAGGAAGTTGCTCTGAGGATACATCGGGTCCTAGGAAGTGAGTACTGCCAGTGTGTTCCACACATGGAGCCGAGGGCAGAGATTTAGAGGCGATGGCATTAAACAGAATAAGGGGGCCATGCCATGTGGGGCTCTGGTGAAGACTCCAACTCCTAGTGACCCTGAGGGACAGAGCAGAGCTGTCCCATTGGGTTTCCAAGGCTATAAACCTTCACAGAAGCAGACTGCCTCAGTTTTCTCCCATGGAGCGTCTGGTGGGTTTGAACTGCTGACCTTTTGGCTAGCAGCACTACTAGGGCCCTTTGTGGGGCTTATCAAACCCCAAATTCACTGCCAAGTCAATTGGAAATGTGTTTCCCAGGTTATAGAGCTTTATGGAAGGGAGACTACCTCGTTGTTCTCCTGACAATTTCCTTAGCAGCCAAGTGCCTTAACCATTGTACCACCAGGGTCACTTGTGGAGCTCATGCTGTGAAGTGCTGTCGAGTTGATTCTGACCCATAGTGACCCTGTATAGGGTTTCCAAGGAGCAGCTGGTGAGCTTGAACCACAGGCCTTACAGTTCAAACTGACTTTTCATTCTAGCTCATTAACCCACAGCACCACACCAGGACTCATAGGCCAATGTAAAAGCCAAGGGAAAAAAAAAGAAATCAAACCCCAAAGTCATGTTCATTCGGGCAGTCCCACGTGCGTCAGAGTAGAAACATGCTCCGTAGGGCGGGTTTCAGTGGCTGGGACATTTTGGAAGCAGATTTCCAGGCCTTTCTTCCAAAGCACTTCTGGATGGATTTAAATCACCATCTTAGCTGAGTGCCATTTGTACCACCCTGGCTGCCTTCACTTAAGGAAATGGTCAATAATGATTCAGATCCAACACCTATCTAGTGATCTGCTTCCCCACAGATGACAGCCTAAGAAACCCTCTGGGGCGGTTCTATTGTGTCCTGTGGTCACTATATGTCAGAGTGGACTCCAAGGTAGTAGGTCTCTGGCTCCAGGGGGTGTAGAGAACATCCGGGAAGCAGTTATCCACTGTTCTGGGCTGAGTGGCATCCCTCCCAAATGATAAAGTCCCTACCCCAAGCTGATCAGTGTGACCTGGTTTGCAAATCGTATCTTTGGAGATGCTGTCGTAATTAACATGTGGTCATTTTGGAGGAGGCTGGACACCAATCCTCTGTGACTGCTGTCCTTAGGACAGGACAGTGACAGCACACGGGTGCTACGAGATGCCACGGTTATCAGCCCACAGATGCCCACAGGTGGCAGGAGCTGAGAGGGAAGCTTGGATCCATCGGCTCCCCTCAGGAGGAGGGATCGGTATGGCCAATGCCCGAATATAGACGTATTGCCTCTCCAGCTGTGAGAAAATCAACATTCCTGTCCTAAGAAAACCCTGCAGGCAGTTTGGGGCACTCTGCTACAACAGCCCTGCTGCCGTTGTGGGGGTGTGGTAGAGTCGATTCTGACTCATTGTGACCCCATATGACAGAGTACAACTGACCTGTAGGGTTTCCTAGGCTGGCATCTTTATGGAGCAGATCACATGCTCTTTCCTTCCACAGAGTGGCTGGTGGGTTTGAACCACTGTTCTATCTTTTGGGGGGCAACTGAGCACGTACCCCTTGAATTACCAAGGCTCTTATGGCAGCCCTAGGAAACAAACCTGTCTGCTACTATTAGGTCTGTGTCCAGACTGGACTCTGGAAAACATGTCTCTCCTTAATTTAGGGGTGTAAAGCTGAGGCACCTGGTGAGCTCACAGGTCACATGGCAGGTCAGGGAGAGCTGGGTTATGAGCCCCCGGCTTCTAACCCTGACACCCCCATTGCTTTCTGACTTCCATGGCTCTCTCCCCGCCTTGTCCAGGCTCTACTCGAAGGGTCCTGGCAAGCCATCAAAACACCCTCTGGTTTCTTATTGGAGGGAGAAGCTAGTGATGGTGATACAACCACTCACACAGTCCTGGGGAGAAACCCATCATGCCAGCTGGAGTCCGTGATAGGAGGTCAGCTGGGGACATGGCTGGGTGGCACCGGCTGCCCACAACAGACATAGAGAAGATGCTCTGAGCCAGAAGGCAGTTGTAGGAGTATCACAGCATGAGCAAGACAACAGGGGCAGAGAGGGCAGCAAAAGTGACCACTGATGGCGGCATTCAAGGCTCTTGGTTAAGGGAGGCTGTGGCAGGAGTGTGGAGGCCAGCAGGACAGTGGTCTGGGCTTGGGACCTGGGAGCTCCCGACCATTTACCATGCTAGAGGCAGCCATGTGGGGATCTCTAGTTCAAGTGTCCATATGTCTTAGTCCTGAGGCCTCCACCCCTCCCACAGAAGTAGTTCCACACCCCTTGGTTTAAAACATAAGCCATCAAAACACCCTCGGCTTCTGCACTGCACTCTTCCTTTGCCACTGACCCCCCTGCCTGACATGGAATCCCTCACAGTGAAGGGGCTGCGGAGTGGGCTCCTGGGGCTTAAATGAGCTTGGCCGCAGCCCGCTGCACCCCACTGCTCTCCTGGCTGCATAGAGAGAGCCCATTTTATTTTGTATCAATTACGGTACGAGGACAGACGACCACTGTCGGCGGCTGCTGGGGGTGCTGGGAGATGGGAGGGGAGACCCGGCGAGAAGGGTGAGTCAGATGAAATAGGCAAGGCCTCACCCCTCCCTCCAGTGAGACAGAGGAACCCGGGATGGCCGCTCCAACACTATCCTGTGTGCTCAATGTCAGCCATTAGTTCTTCCCAATCGGGCACCGT